GTTACGTGGTGGGGGGGATGGCCCCCCGGCCCCCACTCTTCCTCCTTGGGAGGCATGCCTGGTTGTGCCGAGGCGTCGCCCGGCTGGAGCCCCACAAATGGGGTCAATCTGCGGCGAGCGTGCCGTGTAGCGGCCTGGAACATCCTCAGTCTCTCGGAGGATGATCGACTGCCTTTGTTGTCGGGGGAGCTGGGGAGGCTGGGGATTGCCATCGCTGCTCTCTCTGAGGTGCGACGGCCTGGTAGTGGTGAGACCAGTAGTGGGGGTTATACCTACTACTGGTCTGGCTGTAGCAATGGTGCGCGCCTTAGGGGAGTCGCGGTGGCTGTCTCTGACCGCTTCCGTTCCTCAGTCAAGAAGGTTACCCCTGTTGACGAGCGTATTCTGCTTGTGAGAATGAAGCACACTTTGGGCTTCATATCTCTAATTGCAGTTTACACTCCTACTGAGGGAAGTGGGCTTGAAGAGAAAGAGATGTTCTACGCCAAACTTGACTCTATAGTGGATCAATGTCCCCGGGGGGACACCCTCATGGTCTTGGGGGACTTCAATGCAGTCACTGGCACTGACAGGGAAGGATACGAGCTATGCATCGGTCCCTATGGCTCTGGTACTAGGAACATCAATAGCTCATACCTCTTAGACTTCGCAAGATCTAGGAGGCTGGGGATTGCGGGCTCGTGGTACCAGAGACGAGATCTACACCGCTGGACTTGGTACTCCAATACTGGCGTTGTAGCTAAAGAGATCGACCATATTCTCGTGGATACTCGCTGGAGGATCCTTCAGAACTGTAGAGTTTTTAGGAGTGCTGAGTTCTTTGCTACCGACCACAGACTTGTTGTCGCAACACTAAGGCTCCGCCTCAGATCTAGATGCATCCCGAGATCTCACCAGCAGGTGTTCCATCTCGAGAGGCTCAAGAGTGAGGAGGTGGCTCAGGAGTATGCAATGGCAGTCTCAAATCGGTTTGAAGTGCTTGGTACTCTACAGGACCCTGCTGAACTGTGGGATACCTTTAAGCGAGGAACTCTGTCAGCTGCCGAGGAGTGCCTTGGTGTCCGACCTCGGCGAAGGAGGTGTGTTGTCTCAGACCAGACACTGAACACTATAGAGAGGAGTCGTGCTGCCAGACTGGATGGGAACCATGACTTGCACAGGGAGCTGTCTCGCTCTGCTAGGGCCTCTTTGAGAGTGGACCAAGAGAGGTACGTTAGGGGCATCGTGGAAGAGTTGGAAGGTCATTTTGCCCAAAATGACCTTCGACCTGCTTTCCGAGCCCTGAGGGAACTCCGATCAAAGTCCATCTCTCAATCGGGCTCAGTGAGAGCAGAGGATGGTCGCATTGTGTCAGAGCC